AGGAGATCATGTCTTTGCTTTTTGCCCAATCACCCATGGGGTGAAAAATAGTTTGCGCTGCTTACGACTTCCAGCGCCGTGTGAACCACGACCCACCCGCCTCGAGCAACATTGGCGCGCGCTGCAAGTTGAGACTCGAAAAAGCAGCCCAAGTTCCCCCTAGGGTCCCCTGAAAACGGGTCTCCAAAAGGGGCCGGTAGGGCTTCGAGGCCAAGAGCTTCGAGATCGCCGCTGCAGGGGGGGGGGGGGGGAGGCGTGGGGGCTGAAACATCAGACGAGCGTCCTTGATGGGATGATAGGATGGGGGAGGCCCCTGCCACTCCCGCCAATATCCATGTTGGTGATCAGAAATCGTCGCTTGGGTCACGTCTTCAAATGCCAAATGTAAAGTCGATGCTTCCATGGCGGCGGTGGTTTCCCTTTTTCCCTTTTTCTTTTTTTCCATCTTTTCTTCTCCTCCGACATGCCCAACACATCACGGAAACCCCAGACCGCCTCCAGCCCAGGATCAAAAGGATCCCGGGCGGCTCCTGGCACTGTGGCGTACTGGTTCTTTGGCCTGAAACCGGTATGCACGGCAACCTTGTCTCTATTTGGGTCTCCTGCGCATGCCCCTTTTTAGGACCAACACCATGGCCAGGGGACAAAACATTTGGAAACATTCCGGGGCCCGGGCGAACATGGCGAGATGTTCGACTCCACGTCATCGGGGTTTCCCAGATAGGATTTGGCAATCGCAACTAGAGGAGAACACAACAGCGCAATCCCTCACCTGAACCTCTTCACCGTAACATTCACCTCAAAATCCACTCTCTCACCCATCCCCTGCGTACAGGTCCTGGCAAAAGCCCCATTCTCAACACACCAGCCCAAGGGCAGCGCATTCCACCCAGACGCCGCAAACAGAATCCTATCGTCGCCATCGAATTTAGCCCCCAGTTCCCATCCCGAGAGAAAGAAAACTCACGGCTTCCCGCTCTCCGCCTCAAGACACACCCACGACGAATTGATCGTGAGGAAGTGCAGCGTCCCGTCGTACTGGAACGCGGTCCTGGTCGGCGCCACCAGCGGCGCCGCCTCGGCCGTCCCGACGTCCTCGGTCGCGCACTCGTACCACTGGTACGGGTCGCTCGCGACGCCGTTGGGGGTGAGGGCGGCGCTGCTGGCGGCGCAGCGGGCGGCGCCGCCCGTCGCGGGGTTGGCGAGGTGGAAGGCGACCGTGGTGTTTTCTTTCTGGAAGGGCGAGCCGCGCGTGATTTGGGTCGTGGTGAGAGTAAGGGTCTGGAGCGTGAGCGAGGAGGCTGCGCAGTCGTTGGCGATTGGGAGGGGGGAGGTAAGTGGGGCGAGGAGGAGGAGGAGGAAAAGGTGGGCCATTGTGGGTGGTGGTTGGGATTGAGACGGTGGGGGATGGGGTGGTTGGGAGAGGGGATTCAGAGACGTGACGGCGAGGGAGAGAGAAATGTGGTTGGCTTGCAAGATATCCCCCCGCATGGGAGGGGGTGGCAGTATCTCGACTAATTGGGTTGTGGTCGTCCAAATTGACTACGGGTAAGTCGAGGATAAATGCTTGTCATACAATTTTGAGCCGAGCCTCCTGGAGTATGGTTTGTAAAGCCGGCAATTAATTACTCGACTTGAAGGAAATCACTGCTATTCATTGATGGGGTTTGATAGCCTGCAAGGTATTCCCCATGTCAACAACAAAAGGTTTTTGAAGCGCAGCAAACAGATCAAACTCACTCGGCGAGATTCCCATCAGGGTCTCTAATGTAGACACTGCGCAGCTTCGCTCTCGCGCCCGTCCGCTAAACTACCTCGGCACCCTCTAAAACCTCGGCCTGTTCGGCCTTCAGTCTCTGCAAGACGTCCTCCACATTATCTTGCACCAAGAAACACAAGCCTGCTGAGCCAGGCTGAACATTTTGCGCCTTGGGCTCAAATTCCTTGCCGCTCAGGTGCAGGTTTGATCTTTTGGCTGCCAAAGAGCAGTGCGTGCCTCTCAGCGCCATTGGAAGTAAAGACAGTGTGCTTCATGCCTAGAAATCGCTCGTAGAATTTGAGGGCCGCGCCAATATCCTTGACGGTAAGCACGAGATGGTCAAGGGAAATGGCTCTTGCGATGATGGACATTGTGCGAGTGCCGGCGTGGATGGGGGCAGCCCCGGGTGCTGATGCAGGTCAGATGTGATTTGCTGTCGGAGCGTTTGCATGCAATGCAGTGCTTCGTGTTGAAGTCAAGACCGTCGGTGGAAATGTGGATATGGACAACATGATAGTTGTACAGCCACGGGCCGAGACCGGCTGGCTGTAAATACCCCAGACGTGATTTTTGAGTCCAAGTCCCATGCGCCGTTTCCTGATGCCGCGAAATTCAAGCTACCAATTATCAGCGCCGGGTGGATGGAGTATGAAGGACCAGGATTGTCAGCAGGGTTCTACTGACACCAGGTTGCCGTCGGGTAGCTCCATCCCGCTGAGACGGAGCGGATCACGATGTTGGAAGCAGCGTGGCGGAAAGCACCTTCCTTCCCCGCGTCTGATGCGGAGAAGTATCTCCAATGCTATAAAGCTGCTTGTTTCACAGCAGCCAAGACGCTACGCAAGTCCACTCGGGTGCGGAGGTGAGGGGCTGCATGCCGCCGTGGGACCTCCGCGCCCTTGGGCAGCCGATGACGAGGGTCGATCGGACGGAGGATGAGGGGCAACAGATGTTTCCTCCCAAATAAAGGAGCATCTGCAGCCTGGAAGGCGAAGGCGATCGTGTGTTTTTTTTTACCATTATCCCGTCTCTGTCCCCACTTATACTCTGCCTTGTCAATTATTTGCATTGGACCCAAACCATGAGCGGAGCAATCCAGCAAACGGCTTCTAGCCAGCGCATCGAGCCCGGGTCCGTCGACCTCAAAGCCACGCCCTGGCCAGCATCAGCCAAGAACCTAGGTGCAGATGCCACCGCTATCGCGGAGACCGTCGTCAACGCTCTGAACGAGGCTCTTGCCAACAAGCAATACGATGACCTCGCCAATATTTTCTTGGAGGATGGCTTCTGGCGCGACCACAATGCTCTTTCCTGGGGTCTCCGTTCCCCCCAGGGGCGGAACGCAATCCGCTCCTTCCTGGAGACACGGTGCAACTTGACGCGAGTCGACGTCGATGCGTCTTCGCCCTTGCGCAATCCCCAGCTCGCCAACTTCGCCCCAGCAGGCGACGCCACGGGCTTCTCGTTCTTCATCAAGCTCACGACCAAGTATGGCCGGGGTCGAGGTGTAGTCCGAGTGGCGGAGAAAGATGACCAGTACAAGATCTGGACACTCTTCACAACACTGGAGGAGTTGGTTGGACATGAAGAGCCCCTTGGTCTAAAGAGACCCAATGGCGTCGAGCATGGTGAGAAGCCGGGGCGGGAGAACTGGCTCGAGAGGAGAGAAGAAGATGTAGATTTTGTTGGCAGGGAGCCCGCAGTCTTGATCATTGGTAATACCCGCCTTTCTCTGGTCGTGCCGCAGAAATCGTATTGACGCAGAGTCAGGTGCCGGCCAGGGTGGCCTGACTGCTCATGCCCGCCTCAAGATGCTCAATGTCCCCACTCTCATCATTGACGGCAACGACGCCGTTGGCGACAACTGGCGCAAGCGGTACCACCAACTCGTCCTGCATGATCCCGTTTGGTACGACCACATGCCGTACCTTGACTTCCCCGACTTCTGGCCCGTTTTCACGCCCAAGGACAAGCTCGCCGATTGGTTCGATGCGTACGCCAAGATGCTCGACCTCAACGTGTGGATGAAATCCAAGCTGCTGTCAAGTTCGTGGGATGACAACCAGAATCAGTGGACCGTCACCATCGAGCGCGTTCGGCCTAGTGGGAAAACCGAAACCCGCACATTCCACCCCAAGCACATTATCCAAGCTACCGGTGCTTCGGGCAAGATGAAGCTGCCAACCGTTCCCGGCATGGAAAATTTCAAAGGTTCACTCCTCTGCCACTCGTCCGAGTTCCCGGGCGTAGTGAAGACCGAGACTCCCAAAAAGGTGGTCGTTGTTGGCGCATGCAACTCGGCCCACGACATTTGCCAAGACTACTTTGAAAAGGGGCATTCGGTGACCATGGTGCAGCGCTCGTCCACCTGCGTCATCAGCAGCGATGCCCTTTTGAAAATCATGCTGTATCCGCTGTACAGTGACGGTGGGCCCCCGGCGGAGGATAGCGATATTTGGTAGGCTATTTTCTCCCTTGAACGCTCCTCAATCGACTGACACACCCTCAGGCTCTGGGGCTGGCCCTCCTCGGTGCTCAAGCGCATCCAAACCGAACTCACCATCCTGCAGCGGAAGCTCGACGAACCCCTCCTCTCTGGGCTCGCGCACGCAGGCTTCGCGCTCGACGCAGGCCCCGACGAGGGCGGGCTCTTCAACAAGTACCTGCAGCGCGGCGGCGGTTACTACATCGACGTGGGCACGTCGCAGCTCATCATCGACGGCAAGATCGCCATCAAACAGGGGCAGGAGGTGACCGAGATTCTGGCGCGCGGCGTGCGCTTCGGCGACGGGTCGGAGCTTGAGGCCGACGAGATTGTGTTTGCCACGGGCTACGACAACATGCGGACGCAGGCGCGGGCCATTTTCGGGGATGAGCTGGCCGATCGCGTCGGGGATATTTGGGGGTGGGATGCTGAGGGTGAGATGAGGGGCATTTGGACGGGCAGTGGACACCCCGGCTTTTGGTTCCACGGCGGGAACCTGGCCATGTGCAGGTATTATTCGAGGGTCTTGGCCTTGCAGATCAAAGCGAAGCTGGAGGGATTGGATGGGTAGGCCAGGGCTTAGTCCTGCTTTGCGGCATTGGTCAGGTAAAAAAAAAAAAATAAAGAATAGAGAGCGAAGGAAGGGTTGAAACAATCTCGATTGCCCTTTTCCCGGAATGGTGGAGATCAGCAAAACCAAAAGACTGCTCGCCGTCCTTTAGGGGTCGCTAAACTCCGCATAGGGGAAAAAAGATAGGGCTCAGTCGGGGATTGAACCCGAGACCTCGCACAAGCACTTATTTCAAGTGTGGGAATTACCCGAAGCACGAATCATACCACTAGACCACTGAGCCAAATCAGAAGATGTGTAGAACTTTCAAAACACCAACACTATGAGCGCCAGGCTGCCGTTGAGATGATGAATACCCATGCTGCCTCGCCAGATATCACCTGACGCTGTGGTAAAAAGATACTAATATCTAAGATGGGATATTTGTGGAATCTAATAGCTCATTGCTGCATCGGCCTCAGGCAATCTTTTTCTTATTGCTTATTAACATTTACCTGCACGTGCAGCAATTCAGACCACGTTGGGGGCAATCGTGCAGGATGTTAACCCTGGATTGCAAGCGGATAGCTGCATGGTGGTCAAAGGAAGCAACATCTTGTCGGCCGGTTACTCGTTGGCTTTGTCTTGTTTGCTCAACGTAAGTTTGTGTTTTTCTTCAAGGCCAGTTCCTAAGCGATTCCATGCAGAGCTTAGAATGTCCTGAAATGTGGATAGATCACAGTCCTGTTTGAATCTAGGGGCTTCCATGTCTTTACGAGGTAGTTCAAGTCTAGATGGGCGGAAACTGCTTTGAGGTTGTAGTTATCGAGCTCAGTAACTCGATAGGTGCTGATACACCAGGTTCCATGGCTTTCTGGACATAAGTTGGTGTTGTTTGTCTGCTGGTCAGCCTGGGCCCCACCAGTGCCAATATGTATGCATGACTGCCTTTGACAATCGATGTCGGAAAGGTGCAAGATTCAGGCGTGGAAGTTATGCCATGTAACTTTGACCTCGTCAGGTGGGAGTCGATGCTTGGCTCTTGTCGCTGCCGCAGCTGGAGGGCGCCGATTTGGCCGGGGGTTAGTGGGCAATTGGTGTTTAGTGTTGTTGATCGATGAACTGTGGGCTTTACTCTCTGCCTTTGGGCCACGATTTGTGGCGTCGGGATTCGAACTCCTTGAGGTTTTCTTCAGTCCTCTCGTTGGAGCTCAGGCGGTAAAATCTGTTAGCCGCTAAGGGGGTCTGGAGGATTTGTCAGGCACGAAGAGTTTGGATTATACCGAGTAGGTGCCTCGGTCTGAAAGATGGATATCGTCTCGAGACTCAGTGTCATGGCAAGCCCCTCGACTTCGCTCAAAGACCTAAGAACCGTGTTTCTGCCGCTCCACCGGAAAGGAACCTCGCGCAAATTCTTGCCAACTCCCGAAAGGGTGACTGGATCAAGATCGACTCTCAGCTAATCCAATAACTTAACATCGAACGGCTTCAGCGCCCCGCCTCCTCGATAGCCTCGTCACGGTGGGGTGGTTGCCCAAGGTCATCAACAATCACCTCGATGATGCGCTGCATATCCTTTCCTTCAGCCAGTCGAAGAAGAAGACCATATCCTCCCGGTCCTGGGACCTTTCGTTGACCGGTGAAGCCTTGCCTTGTTGCTTGAGCTCGACCCGCGGAAAGGCGACGTATTGTAGGAAACTTGTGAAACTGAAGCTGGCTAAAATGCTTGCGAAATTCTGCTGGCGTCATTTCGACCCTTGGCTGTGACTCGAAGTCGAGCCAAGGCCTGTACGATAATAAGAACTGGTCGGCGAGGGAGATTGCGCTGTACCATGATGCTGATGATGTGGCCAAGCAGTTGGCGAGTGGGGATACGCTGGCGAGGGCGAGGTAGACTAGGAAACGGGGCGAAGCGAGGAGTAGATTTTGTGATGTTTGCCATCTGGTGAGTTACTATGCCTTATTTTCTCTCTCTCTCCCCCCCCCCTTTGGTCAGGGGAGCTGACATGGTGTGTAGACTCTATACGGTGTGTTCTTTCATTGTACCACTTGCAAGGACTATGACCTATGCTTCAAGTGCTATGAGGCCAAGGAGGTGGTGCATCCATCCATCCCACGACTACATAGATTTGGGATATGATTGGGATTCGGATTCTGAGGAATCCGAGGATGACCCCGAGCCGGTGCCCAAGGAAAACTCCAGGGACAGATGGACTAGCGGGAGCAGTGGGTGCGGATGAGCCTCATGATGAGGGGTTTGGTGATTAAGTTGTCAGCAATGGCGATGACGATGTGAATTTGGCGCCGGGCGGCGACAAGGAAGAAGACGAAATTGAATAGTACCACTTCAATTCGCTACTTACAGCCAACTGCAGCCTTGCAAGTCTCACGAGGTCTAGATCCAAGACCGAGTCCACTTACGAGGATTGGAGCTATGTTCCTCCCCCGACCATGATTTTCATATGCTCGGTGAAGTAATTTCAACCTTGAAGGAAAAGTTCTCGAGTGGGCAAATGTCTTTATAACATACCGTGATGGGGCGCCCGGGCGGTTATCGATACATCAGCGAGACTCCAGAAAACAATAACCTGCAGCTAATATACGATATACAACACATAGACTTCCTCTTGCAACCCCTATTATACTGCGAAAACTCGGAATCAGCAACATGCTAAGACAACTCCCAAAGACTCAACTGAAAAGACTTTAAAAATATCATCACACGTTCTGTCAACGCTTGCTAACACCAAGTGTCATTACAACATCAATTGCACCCACCCGCCAGACAAACATACCTGCAAGTATCAAGCCTCATCACCAAGCTCTCCCCCAAACCCGCCAATCCTGACATGCGGACTCGCCCGCCGCGGTTCATCCTCCTCGTCAATCACCTTTTGCGATGCAGGCGTGAAGTTCCTTGTCCGCTTCGTACCTGCACTCCCGCCGCCCATACCGCCCCCACCCAGGCAATTCACCCCGTCTGCATTCATCGACGACGACTCCAGACAGTCACCAGACGCCTGTCCCAACAGCTGGAGCGATGCATGCCTCACTGGTGAACATCCCGTGTTTAGATTGGCAATGTTGGCGCCAAATCTCTCCGACTCATCACGTGAATTGTTAGCTGAGAAGCTGGGCTGCATGCTGGGTGAGGTGCTGTTTGAGTTCTCGGTGGTGTTGGTGGTGGATGAGGATGTTGACAAAGGCCTGTTCATCATGTGCAGGTTGCCACCTAAGTTGCCTCCGCCACCGAGATTGAACACTGGATGGGAGAACTTGCGTGTTTCCATGTGTGCTGCCTGCGGCGTTGATTGTGATGATGAAAGATTGGAGTCTGGGACGGCGAGGTGGCGGTTTTCCTTTCGGGACTTGATCTCGGATGCTGGGAGTGGAATTGCTTGCGGCTGAATTGGGAGTAGGAGGGGCTGGTTCAAGAGGGAGTGGGTGAGGGAGGTGGCGAGGTCTGTTGGCAGCAACTGTCCCACGGACCCTGGGTACCATGAGAGTGAGGTGCTCTGGAAGTCATCGCCCGACACGGCAGTCGGCGTGTTAGTCGGAACTTTAAGGCTCATGGGGTTATCTTCAAGGCTAGGCCCGGAGATGTGCATAGGCTCGCCGATGCTACAGTTCGAGAGGTAGTCCGGCATGCTGGTATCACTTGACTGCGTGCTGCTATTGCGCGTGTCTGGCCATATTGTTTTGTCCATAGCACCATTAAACCCGTTGCTGGATGACTGGCCGGCCGTCATCGAGTTGATCCACTCCAAATACGCAGCCTCCGAGAACGGATCCGGGCACGACAACGACGAATTGGTTGCCGCGTTGTTTTGTTGGAACCAAGGCACGGGGAAGCTTTGGGCTCCGAGAAATGCATTCGTGGGCTGGGTTTGGAAAGGGCCCTGGAACCCCTGGATCTGGTTACCTTTCTGGGGGAACTCCGACTTCCGACGCGGGGAGTGGGTATGCGAGTTTGCGCCATCCTCGGACTGGTACGTTGGTACCGGCATCGTGGAGCTGAAGGGCGGGCGTCGCCACATCAAGGGGCTTGGCCAGGCAATGCCGTTGCTCTCGAGGATTTCTTGACATTCGTGTTAGCACCTTTGCTCCGTTGCCTCATTATGGGTATGGGCATCACCTACCGAGCGGGGCATGCTGGAAAGAAAAGACCACAACATTTTTGACACGCTCGATCGGAACAGAGAGCGAATCCCGAGGGAAGCCCTCGCTGATTATGACCTTGATGCGTCCCATGTCGTCGCTGGGACTCCAGTGATTTTGGTACATGAGTTCGCGGCGAAATTGGGGGAACCTGAGGCGTTCGAGCTCGCCCGTCTTTGTAAACTCTGGAGCACATAAAGTCAACGAGAGCCACCAAAGGGTCTGCGAGTAACATACCAAATGTACTGGTGATGAGGTGCGGCCCGTGGACCCGCCGGTCAAAGGCTGTGGACCTGCACATGCCCTTGTCAGCATACACGTCGGTTCCTCTTCAGGGGAGGAAAACGAACGCGACCATGCGTCCGTCCAGCAGGATGCGGGCCTCGAACTTGACGAGATCAGTGTGTTTGCTGTAGGCACGGGTGTATTGGCTGATGTCTGGGGCTTTCCAGCTGTGGATCGAGATCTGGAACGGTGTGCCGGCCGGCAGGCTGGGCACGAAGCACGTCATGGCAGGCATGCCGACCGATCCATGGATGTGGGCGAGCTCGAGATCCGGGACTGCATGGCACGCGACTTTGAACTCCTTGAAGGGGATCTTGGAGTCTCTGCCCACGGGGAACAGGATGATGTCCCAGTCCTCGTACCGCATGTCGAGAGATCGATCCGCAGAGATTCCAATAGAGGCTGTAACAGTGCTATGGGGGCTGGAGGGTTAAGAGGAGGGAAAAGAACAGTGAGGAGAAGCAAGGAGAAGTAAACAACCCAAAATGAAGCCAAGCCAAGCAACGCAACGCAAGGGCACCAAAGCGAAGCAAAAACGACAAGCTTGGGGTGGGTGACGGCGGTGCAGGATACCTACCGGATCTGGAAATGATGTCGGTCCCGACTCTGTCGGCAGCTGGTGCCCAGATGGTGGATCATGTCATCAGCTGAGCTGGCGTCTGCGTGGTGGACAAGTGAAATGCCCCATTGCCCCTTCCTATTGAGGTACCCTCTTCCTGAAGCACACCTAGCTACTGCTGTACCCCACATTACAGCTGAACTGGAAGTGGCAGTCAATTGGTTGTTCCTTGCGTTGCCCATACTAGTCCGATCTGGGAACATCGGTGGCCGTCTGCCATATCGGGAGGCTGCAATCGATGG